AAAATGAACCCCAAGATAGGAGCATAAGAGGTTCAATTTTTCTTGCTGTTGCTTCTAGTGTATATATAATGTACTATGTGTTTTTTGTTTCTTTTGTATGTTCTTCCCCCATGGTATAACCTCTGTTGCACTGTCTCTTGTATATACATTTTTCTAATTTGGGGAGGGGAAGGGAAATAACAAGATACTGAAACAAAGATACAGGTTAACCCATTGTAACAATGAGATGTGCAAGACACTATGTTGAAAATGAACTTTACAACTTGGGGCGGGGAGGAGGAGTTGGGGAGGTGGGGAGGGAAGGGATAGTAGGGGGAAAACAAAGGAGGAGGTAACAATGCTCTATAGGAAATACACTCATTACCTTACTCACGTAACTGTAACCCCTCTGTACAATATCTTTACAGTAAAAAATATATACAAAAAATAGTCAGGGGCTGGGAAGGTGGCTCAGTGGTAGAGCACTTGCCTTGCATGCTAGAGGCCCTGGGTTCGATTCCTCAGGACCACATAAGAAAAAAGCCGGAAGTGGCGCTGTGGCTCAAGTGGTAGAGTGCTAGCCTTGAGCTGAAGAGCTGAGGGACAGCACCCAGGCCCAGAGTTCAGGCCCCACGACCGGACCCCCACCCCCCCCAAAAAAAAAGTCAATAGATGCTGAACTAGGGAAGTCGTCTTGGTACATCCTGATAGCTCAATTGCAGTCACAAGCATTCTTAAAAGTGGAACAAGAAGATAGAACAGAAAAAATGTGATGATGGCAAAGAGGCAGAAATAATATCCTTGAATTCTAAGACAAGAAGGAGAATTATGCATCTGGAAAAGCAAGGAAATGCTTCTCTCTAGAGTTTCTCAAAGGAAATGTAGATCTCTTACTAACTTGGCTTTTTATCCCTATGTGGCTTGGATATCTGAACAACAAAACTGTCACATAACATAATTTTGTTGTTGAAAGCTATGGTTTGTGGAATTTTTTAAATAGTGCCTAAAGGACACTAATATATTATTCATCCAAAACTGTATATTTGTATTCTAAGTACATATACACATTTTAATCCATTATTTGGAAAATTTAAAGAAGTTACATTAATGAGGAGCTACATAATATTTATAATATATAACTTATGGTACATAGATTTAATGTAGACAAATGTTTGTTTACAGTTATGTTTGTATGTGTATGTGATTATGTGCATGTGTCTATGTGTATGTTTGTAAACTGAAAAACTGTAAGTTTCATATTAAAGTATTGAGAATCACTAAGAAAATTTTGAAGACAAAAACAGCAGAACTTATGCTCTAGTATGAAGAACATGCAAATTTAAATTGAGTTTGCGTTGTATTAGTGCAAATGGATGTAAGTAGACTTAAGAACACTGAAACTACAGGAACATTCTTAGGCTTTGTGCCTCTACTCAATGTAACTTGTCAAAGGCTTAGTATCTCAGGGATCCAGTCTCTGCAGGCCATTAAACACCCCAAATTATATTCCATCCCAGGAGAAATGATGTAATCTGATCGGCCCCATCTCTCATAAGAAAATGGACATTGAAGGCTTCATCTAACCTGAACTACCTCCCGGGAATACAGGGCAATACATAAATGTTTTCCTTTATCCCTTACTAGACTGTTTTCCACTCTGATATTACATTCACTTCCTCCCAAATGGACACTTGCCACTAACTTTGTCCACCTAGAGACAGAAGACAGTCTGGTAAGTAAGACACTGCAGGCAATAAGTGAGGCAGAAAACACTTCACTGACTCTGGGATTTTCTTAAGCAATGCAGCCTCTAGTTTCTTTCAGCAGTGTCTAAAGTAGGCATTGTGCTCTGAAGGACATGTGCATGGGAGACAGGAATCCTGGCACTAATGATTTTATGACCAGGATATAGTCTGTCTGGAGGCTACTGATTTCAAGTGCAGACCAGCTGATACGACCAGCAACACAGCCAGGAATTAAGAAGAGAAGAGCTCTTCTGGTAAAAGAAATAAGACCAAAGAACATTTGCACAGAAGTACCTATTACCTGGAATATTTTCTTTTTTTATTTTATTTTATTTTATTTGTGAACATACTGTACAGAGGGGTTACAATTACATGGGCAGGATAATGCATACATTTCTTACCAAGCATTGCAGCCTCCTCCTTTGTTCACCCTTCACATCCCTTCCGGAATATTTTCTTGCTTGTCTGCCTTCTTTCTCTCCTTCCCTCCTTCCCTCCTTCCCTCCTGCCCTCCTTCCCTCCCTCCCTCCCTCCCTCCCTTCCTTCCTCCCTCCCTCCCTCCCTCCCTCCCTTCCTTCCTTCCTTCTTTCCTTCCTCCCTCCCTTCCTTCCTTCCTTCCTTCCTTCTTTCCTTCCTTCCTTCCTTCCTTCCTTCCTTCCTTCCTTCCTTCCTTCCTTCCTTCCTTCCTTCCTTCCTTCTTTCCTTCCTTCTCTCCCTCCTCTCTCCCTTCCTCACTTTCTGCTTTCCTTCCTTCCTTCCTGCTTTCCTTCTTTTTCTTTTTGGTGCCAGTCCTAGGGCTTGAACTCAGTGCCTGAGTGATCTCTCTGAGTTTTTTCCACTCAAGGCTATCACTACCACTTCAGCCACAGCTCCTTTTCTGTTTTTTTTTTTTTTTTTTTGTGTGTGTGTGTGTGTTTGTTTTGTTTTTTGGTGATTGAGTGGAGATAAGAGTCTCTTGCCTGTGCTGATTTTGAACTGTGATCCTCAGATTCATGACTCCTGTAGCTAGGATTTATAGGTATAAGCAACTAGTATCCAGCTAGAATATTTTCTTTTGACTGTCATTTGTAGTTTTACTAATTAGAGGTTACTTTTCTCTCATTGGGATGTATTTCTTGTGATGTTGAGGAAATGTGTGTTCTTTTTTATTTTTTTTTAAATATAAACACCCAATGTTTTATTTTAAAGGATTAGAAAAGCATTAGAAGACAAATGTCTGTTATATAGCCAGGAATGTTAAATATATGGAAACTGTAAACCTTCTAAATGTGGTAGGCACTTTCACAGAGCTAAATATTTAAATTGTCCTTATATAAAGCTGTGACTGAGGCCTGGAAGAGATAGAAAATGTTATTTGGCTCTACTCACTCTTTTTTGTGCACAAGACTACAGATTTCTGTCAAATGTACCAAAATACAAGTTTGTTTGGAAAGCCCACTTCCCATTTAAAAATCTCTTTCATTCTTTCCTTCCTTCCTTCCTTCCTTTCTCCCCTCCCTTCTTTCTAACCTATACCCCTCTTTCCCCCCTCTTTCTCCTTCTTCTCTACTTCCTTCCACTCTTTCTCTTCCCTTCTCTTCTTATTCTTCCTTTATCTTTCTTCTCTTTCTGTTTCCCTCTCTCCTTTCTTCCCTCCTTCCCTCCCTCTCTCTTTCTCTCTTTCTTTTTTCTCTCTTTCTTTCTCTCTTTCCTTCCTTCTTTCCTTCCTTCCCTTCCTTCCTTCTTTCCTTCCCACCTTCCTTCCTTCCCTCCTTCCTTTTCCTTCCTTCCTTCCTTCCTTCCTCCCCTCCTTCCTCCTCTCCCTCCCTTCTTCCTTCCCTCCTTCCTTCCTTCCTTCTTTTCTTCCCTTCCTCCCTCCTTCCCTCCCTCCCTCCCTCCCTCCCTCCCTCCCTTCCTCCCTCTTTTCCTTCCTTTCCTTCTTTCCTTCCTCTTTCCTTCCTTCTCTAGGCAGTGGGGCTCAAACTGAGAGCCTAGTGCAGGCTAGGCAAACACCAACTCTTCAGCCAATATCCCCATCCCTCAAAAAAGCGTTTTTGACTGACTTTATAAATTTTTTAGAGAAGAAAATAACCAAGTTTCTTTGAAACAAATTTAAGGATGGCTCATAATCTAGGAGGCCATTCTCCAATGCATCCTGATATTAGTGTGCCTAGGTCTCTTTCCTTCTTTCAAAAGTACTCTAACAAGTGGAGTTAAAATTCAAAGAGTATTTCAAACAAAACCCATCTCCAAAGCAAGCTGTATTTACTGTAAACTGAGAGGAGGTTCCTATAGATGGCTCCAAATCTTGTCAAAACTTTGAGATAGAGGTGTATTATTATTATTCCTTATTTTATCTCTACAGGATGAAATTGCACTTGTGAGGACAAATTGTACTTTTTTTTGTTTATTTTTATGGTGACATTCGGACTCTAGGTGGAGTTAGCTCCCCTGGTAAGAATAGAGAATTCAGAACCTCTGGGGTTTAACCTTTTCTCCCAGATCACCCTCTATGTTCACTGAATATAGAGTAATGTTGTTCACTTGACCCTGTGTATTTTCTGATAAATGCTACCTGTTATATTCATATCAACTAAACACAGGATAAATCCTGTTCTAATCAATATTTTAATCACAGTGCAACAAAAATCTCTACTCGCCTGAGCACTGCAAGCTGCCCTTTCTTTTCTCTCCCTCTTTCATTCTTGTTTCTCTTCCTTTAGTCAAATTCTTCAGGTTAATGATCACATTTGTTTTCCAGGGAATATTTACTCTTCTTTTTCATAATATGTATTCTATAAAATGACAAGTTCTGCTTTCTTTATAGTTCATCTTCCCCTATATAATATTTTTAGAAATATTTTATTAGGCTTTTTCTCTTACTAACTTCCCCCAATCCTTTCTCTTATCATACTTAAATGCTTTCATGACTTCTTAGGAAACTGAGGCTACTCTAAATAACTAATAAGAACTACGACTGTTTTTTCCACAAGACATTTATTGACTAGCAAGAGTCACCACTTCACATAGTTGATTAGTAAATATATCAAAGACGTGAATGGGGCCAAGGTCCAGGGGAAGAGGCAGAAACAAGTTAGTCCGATACCACTCAGCTCATTAAGAGAAGAGGAGTGGGGAATCCTGGGAGGCTCCTAAAGTAGAAGTCCTGAGGGTGGCAGCTGCTGTCTCCTACACAGCTCAGCAGGAGCACACTGGAAATGTGTGCTTTCACAGTGAATTCTGACAGGGGCTTTTCCCCAGGGATCAAGACCTGGTGGGTCCCGGACTGAAGAGACCATGCACAACTTGAGCTGTTACAACCCGAGTTCCTTCACCTTGGTTGGGATCCCTGGCTTGGAAAAGTTCCACATCTGGATTGGAATTCCCTTCTGTGTCATCTATGCCGTGTCCCTCGTGGGCAACTGCACCCTCCTCTACCTCATTGCATCCGAGCACAGCCTCCACGAGCCCATGTTCTTCTTCCTCTCTCTGCTGGCCTCCACCGACCTCATCTTATCCACTACCACAGTGCCTAAGCTGCTGGCTAACCTCTGGCTTGGCTCCCAAGAAATCACCTTCTCTGGCTGTCTCGCTCAGATGTTTTTCCTCCACTTCAGCTTTGTAGTGGACTCAGCTATCCTGCTGGCCATGGCCTTTGATCGCTATGTGGCCATCTGTCTCCCCCTGAGGTACAACACCATCCTCACCCCACAGGTGATCGTCAAGCTGGTGGTGAGCATCGTGGTAAGGAGCTTCTCTGTCATCCTGCCAGATGTTTTCCTGCTGAAGCGGTTACCGTTTTGTGGAACACACAGCATCCCGCACACCTACTGTGAGCACATAGGCGTGGCTCGGCTGGCCTCTGCTGACATCTCCATCAACATCTGGTACGGGTTTTCTGTGCCTCTCATGACTGTCATCTCAGATGTCATCCTCATCGCCGTCTCCTACGTGTTCATCTTGTGTGCTGTCTTTCGCCTGTCATCCCAGGGTGCCCGCCAAAAGGCCCTGAGCACCTGCGGCTCCCATGTCTGTGTGATCCTCATGTTTTACACCCCAGCCTTCTTCTCCATCCTGGCTCATCGCTTTGGGCACAGGGTCCCCAAGAACGTTCTCATCCTCTTTGCCAACTTCTATGTAGCCATCCCCCCTGCACTGAACCCCGTGGTTTATGGGGTGAAGACCAAGCAGATCCAGGAGAAATTTCTTCTTCTCATCTCTTTGAAAAAGATGCAGAGACTGGAAATGGAAGGAGACATTTAGGTCATATCACTCTGGTAACATTTTATATAAGACACAGAGACAGAAAATTAAGCTGTGTTCGTTGATAACTCAAGCATTTGTACCATGTAAGTAGCATAGGCCAAGATGAGGAAGAAAATAATCTCCTAGATGTCTGAAAAAACAAATCCAGGGTTTTCTTGGTTTTGTGTTAATCACATTTGTGTTAAGAGAATATTAATAATAAATACAGAAAACTGGCAAAACTAAGATTTTTAAAAATTCTGGTGACTGCTAATTTTTCAGATGTTTCAAGAACAGATATTTTCTAACATAGAACTCACCCTGCCTTGTGTTTCTCAGCGTCTGGATGAATCCCAGTGTTCTCTGCTTTCTTTGTCAAGTGGTTATGGGTTCTTCCCACTACCGCTGCCAGCTCATGGCTCACACATCTGCAGGCAGTCTAGACTTTGCAGTGGTCTCTTCCTGCAGCCTTTTCCTGACCTTCAGGTTGCAAATGCATGCTCTGAGAAGAATCTAAACTGCTTATTTATATATCCCAATTGAAGTGAATTTTATCATTGTTTCCACATCTACTTAAGCTATTGAGAATAATATTAGTTAATTCAGATTATAAACAAAAGCAGAAATACAATTGAGATGAAGAATTTCACCACAAATGTGTATGATTCTGATCTCAGAACTCTATGTTCAATTTCTTCATAGAGATCTTTATCCACAAATGACTGCTATAAATTAATTTATTCAAATATGACATGCAACGAACTATTTTTCTCTGTAAACAATGTTTTTTTTTCTTTCTTGTGGCTAGTGACATTAATAAAACATGAATTGCTTTGAACCCATAGCTTTTCTTTCCTTCTATGCTACCTTTCAACAAAATAGACTCAGCACTTGAACTGAATATTTGAATTTAAGGTGCTTATAAGTCATTCCAGTAGATCTATACTTTCTATTCTTGCCTTTATTATGGAATTGAATTTGAGCAGGTAATAATCTATTTTTTCTCTCTCTGAGAGTACCTCAAAGTAATTTCCTTCTTGGTAGTACTAGGGGTTAAGCTCAGGGCCAAGTACTCTACCACTTGTACCACATACCCTCAGCTACTTCAAAATCATCTTGGAGTTGAAACCTCTCTCCTTCTACTTCAAGGCTTTTGTAAAACCAGTGGGAACATTTTGCAAATCACAAAGAGTTGTGCTACTTTTCAGCTTGAAATTCTCCACTGAGTGCAGAAATACTGGTCTTCCTTGAGATCATTTCAGGGAATCGAAAATTTAAATTAAAAAAGTAGACCTTAAGACCATCAGTTTTAGAGAGGTCCTATCAATTACCCAAGGGAAAAGAATACTGCACAGAGAATCTAAGAAGAATTTCAACAAACAGACCTGGTAGCATTCCCCTCAGCTTATTACCATTAGATCATATTTTTACCATTTAATCACATTTCTACATGGCCATTCACTCTTTTCACAAAACCTAAGCTTAAAAATTTACAGGTTTCTTTGGATCTTTGGCTCTTGATTTCTGAAGTCTTCTGTGTCACGCGAAACTTGGATTAGATAAATTTGTTATAGTTCTCTTATTAGTTCTTTTTTGGTATAAGGATGGTGGTTTTGAAATAGGGGTGTCAGGTCTGGCCTGTGCCATCTTGGCCACATGGTGGATGGTAGGGCTTGGTATCTTGTCTTCATGGTGCAGGAAGGTAAAGCCCCCACCTCCCCAGCTAATAGGCCTGCCTGAATCCCTGGAGGCAGGAACAGGGACTTGGTGATTGGTTAGTAAACCTGTCAGTCCAGTGCCTGGGACTGGGAGTTTCTTGTGACCCTGCCCCCTGACCTGACTCTATTCAGGCCCATACCAGCTCAGTGCCATTATGTCCTGCCACAGGTCTCCGTGTTCGTGTCCTGTCTCCTGGTTATTCTCTGGTCACCATGGTGTCCCAATTCAGCTCTCCATTGGAGGTGAATTGGTTTGTCGGTATTGTTTTTGTTCTTTCTTTCTTCTCTGGCATCATATTTGTGGCTGCTGGTCTTTGAGACAGGAGTCCACCATGCAGTCACTGGCCTTTAAATATGAGGACCTATTTCTGCCTGGATTTCAGAATTATATTAATTAATTAATTAATTAATTAATTGCCTCATATAGCTATAGTATAGTCTCTCTTTTTTTTCTGAAGTAACCTTCCTGATTTCCTTGAAAAATAGAAATGATATTTTACAATATTTGAAGCAATGCTATAAGAGACCTTACAGTTTCCTCATTGGTATCTTTGAATATTTACTTTTTGGATACTTCCTAGTATCTACTCACTACACTGAGAATTCCAAGTCACATGTCATGTGTTGGACAGTCCTGGCTGAACTTCTAGTTAACAATCAGCATCTACCGCATAAATGTTGATCAAGCTTAGAGACTACTAGAACTCTATGAAAACTCTGGTTGCAGCCATCTGAGCAAGATAAACAAAGCAGAAATTCCCACTTGATCCTAGAATTGTAAGAAATGATAATAGATTCTTTAAAGCCATTACTCTTGGGGATAACGGTTTATACCAGTAGATGACTTCATTTTGTTTTCAACACTCTAAACCTCCTTCCAAATATCTGGACTGTGCTCTTCCAGCTATTTAAGTCCTTAGAAATGCCTTAACATGCTTACACAAATATATACAAATCATTACTATTGTAAATTCCAGGCATTTTGTCTCTGGTCCATCACCTCTTATTTTCCAGATCCCTTTCTCTGGAATTACAATATGTCTTTGAATACTAAGGCCTCAGTAATAAATTTCTCTTATTGCCTTTTCACACTTATTCATTGTTCTCATTTCTAAATTTTCCTCTTTGACAGAATAAATTTTATAGTTCATTCTTATAGCTATCTTTAACACAAAAATTCTCTTCCTCTCCCCCTTCACTCTCCCTAATGTGCATTTTTATTATTTCATTTATTTCATTATTTTATTATTTTTTGGTGCCACAAAAATCTTCTAAAGTTAACCCCAAACCTACATGGCACCTGTAGTGATGAGTCCAGCAGTTCTCTCCTCATTCTTGAATGATCACTTTTTGGTTTTAGTTCTTTCTCAATGCAATATGAACATATGATAACATTTATCAAATATTAGCATTCCTATGTTGACCTAATGCCCCACAAATGGAACACAATAACTAAAGAATATTGCCATTAAAAAAAGAATATTGGCAATAAAATCTTCAATATAATTCCAGTGAACTTATTATAATACAGTTTTTACAAATTTCAACACTAACACGATAGCCCAGATTGTTTTTAAAGAATTACCTTTGATTATGACATTGATCAAGATACATTGCACTTATAAATTGGTTTGTTGAACTACTTGAAGTTAATAAAATATAATAAAAAAGAAAAAAAAAGAATTCCAGTGAACTTTCTGTCTTGGTGATATTCATTTGTAATCACAAGTCCTCAGGAGGCTGCAGCAGGAGAATGCTAGCTGAAGTTCAGCTTGGTCTACATAGGAATGCTTTACTTAACAACAAAATGCTGCCAACTAAATCTTGCAACAGATAAAAAGAATTATACAGGACCAGGTTCAGAGATATATACCTTTAATCCCAGTATCTTGGGAGATAGGTTCAAGAAAATTATGAGTTTGAAGCTGATCTGAACAAAGTTAATGAGGTTCAAGTAGTAGAGCCCTTACCTAGTATGTACCTAGGCTGAGTTCCTATGTACTGAAAAACAATCTACAATGTGATTTACCAAGTGGGATTTATTGTAAGAATGCAAAGTTGGGTTAACATCTGAAAATCAATATAATATGTGGTGTTAGTAGAGTATAAAACAGACATCACATGATCATCTCAAAGGAAAGCATATGACAAAATCCAACCCCCTTTGGTGATAAAAAAAAAAAAAATCTGGAAATATAAGGAACCATCCTCAAGCTGGTAAGGGACGTCTACAAGAAATTTATAGTTAATAGGATAATAATTAATATCCTAAATAAAGCATCTTCCTGCATACACAAACAAGACAATGATGTCTATTTTTACCCCTTCTGTGTATACTATGGTGGAGGTGCTAATTGGGCAACTAGGTAAAGAAAAGAAATGAAAGATTGGAAAGGTAGAAGTGAAGCTGTTTATCTTTGAAGATGACGTAACATACCATGCTAAAACAAAAAACAAAAAAACTTCATAACTCCACACAAAAAGCCATTAAAACTAACAAGAAAGCTCAGCAAAGTCACAGGATACAAAAGCAACATAAAGAATTAAGTTGTATTTCTAGTTTTTGGTTTTTTTGGGTCTGGTCGTGGGGCCTGAATTCTGGGCCTGGGCGCTGTCCCTCAGCTCTTCAGCTCAAGGCTAGTGCTCTACCACTTGAGCCACAGTGCCACTTCTGGCTTTTTTCTTTTTTGCTTATGTGGTGCTGAGGAATCGAACCCAGGGCCTCAAGCATGCAGGGCAAGCACTTTACCACTGAGCCACCTTCCCAGCCCTCAGTTGTATTTCTATGCACTAGAAATAATCCATAGGTAAAATTAAGAACACAATTCCATTTCTAATAGAATTATTGTAAACAGAATAAAGTATTTGGGGGTAAATTTAAGAAAAGAAGCTCAAGTTTCTATACTGAAAAAAGGAAGTATTACTGAATGGAATTAAAGATCAAAATGCATGGAAGGGAATACAATGTTCCTGAGTTAGAAAAATTAATATTGTTATGATGTAATACTACTCAAAATGACCTACTGATCCAGTGCACCTTCCACAAAAAAATTTACTTGCCTTCTTTATTTTTGTAGAAATTGACTAGCTTGCTGTAAAACTCATGACACAGAAGAATAAAAAATAATCTTGAGGGCTGAGAAGGTGGCTCAGTGGTAGAGTGCTTGCCTTGCATGCATGAGGCCCTGGGTTCAATTCCTCAGCACCACATAAGCAGAAAAAACCAGAAGTGCCGCTGTGGCTCAAGTGGTAGAGCACTAGTCTTGAGCTGAAGAGCTGAGGGACAGTGCCCAGCCCAGAGTTCAGGCCCCATGACTGACTAAAAAAATAAGTAAATAAAAAAAAATAATCTTGAAAAGAAGAACAAAGTTGAAGAGCTCCCACTTCCCAATTTCAAACATACTACAAATCGACAATAAGCAAGATTATGTGTTACTATAATAAAGATACAGAAATAAATGGAATAAGATTGAGAGTGCCAAAATAATCTATGTATCCACACTTAATTTATTTATTTTTTGTCCATCATGAGGCTTGAACTCTGAGCCTGGGTACTGTCCCTCAGAACCTCAGCTCAAGGCGAGCGAGCACTCTACCACTTGAGCCACAGTACCACTTCTGGTTTTCTGAGTGGTTTATTGGTGATAATGGTCTCATGGACTTTCCCACCCAGGATGGCTTTGAGTCAAGATCCTCAGATCTCAGCCTCCTGAGTAGCTAGGATTACAGGCATGAGCCAACAGCACCCGGCCTTAGTTGGTTTTTGACAGAATGCCAAGACCATTTATCACAAAAAAAACCCCAGTCCCTAGGGCGGGAAGGTGGCTCAGTGGTAGAGTGTTTGCCTTGCATGCACGAGGCCCTGGTTCAATTCCTCAGCACT